TATAAAAGAAAACTTTATAAATCCTTAAAATTCATCTATTTACATACAAATTCAAAGAAACGAAATTCTTCTAATATTTTCTTCTCTCATGATTTCACACAACTTGTAACATATAATCATAAAAATAAATCAATTTAATTTTATAATAAAATCACATAATATATAATTTAATCAATAAAATAAGTGAGAGCGACTAAAAATAAGAACAATTCAAAAGTTGAGTGATTAAATTGAATTGTTTTAAATTTTAGTGACCAAAATAAGAGTGATAAGATAGTTTACTGATTAATAGTATAATTTACCCTTTAATATTTTTTGGGGGTCATTGCCCCACTAATCTCCATGTTCCGCCACTGCATTAACACTACCCTAAACCAAAAATCAGTCATCACCATCCTCTTCATTTTCTTCTCCTAAATAAGTTGTAAACCATCACCCATCAACTCGTTTAACTCAGAATTCAAATTTAGAATCAAAATCGTGTACGAGTCCCATCACCACTAAACCTACTATAAATCCTCCACTCGACTCGACTCGACTCCTACATACATTAAACTCGAGCTTATATCCCAATCACCCAAAGGTTTAACCATCAACCAATATCACTAATAAACATACAACAAAACAAGAGAAAAAAATTCATCCTTTTGGGTTTATTCATACTTTATGCCACCAATTGATAAACTAATGAGATAATGAGAAAAAATATATCTAATGGTAGGAAACGATGATGAGAGGAAAGATAATCCTATAGATTTGATGGAATTTAATGGCTCTTAAAATCAATAGAATGTATGAGGAGGAGAGCTTTAGTATGGGAATAAATTTTTTTATCAATCACACCGTTATAAAATAAATTATATAAAGTACTTAATTTTCAAAATATTTAGTTTGCGTGAATAAAATATTAAATATAATAATCATGTCGTTACAAAATAAATTATAAAAATTTAATTTTATTTACTAACAATCAGCCGTTGATATAATGGGACGAGACAATAGATCAAGATGCCCCCGTCTTGATTACTACTTATTACTACTTGCCTTTCAACTTCACTTAATCCGAATGTATAACCAGTTTCTTCGCCACCACTCGGATGCCTGCCGTCCCCTGATAATCGTAACTTCCAAACTGAAGAAGCATCCACAAATATCCCATATCTGAACAAGTTGCCAAGCTCTGCCGCATCACATTTGCTGAATACGACCTTCTGCACGGTACCGGAGCTGTCCTTCCGATGAATCTCCGCCTTACATATGCTGCCAGAATGAATGAAAGAATCAATAAAACTATTACTAGACTCATGTCGCATGTCTTAAACTGTCTAACTCTGTTTTCAACACGTTACAGAACTTACTTCAGCCTCACGGTCGCCGATTGTTGATGTACCGACATTCCTTCTCACAATAGACTTCCACGTGGAACGGCTTCCGCAATCTTCGAAGATCGTTTTCGCAGCTTTGTCACAAGCATCCAGAATCTCACATAAACTCGGAGAAGCATCGGCTACGAAGCTCAATTTTGGCCGGCCAGCTTGATTAAGGAACTTTCCATCGACTCCAAACCGCACTCGCAAACGAGGACAAAACAGTTGCAAAGCTATGTTTTCGCGCAACAGTCTTATTCGATGAGTGCCACCGTAATACGGGATCAGGGATGCTCTGATAGAACTTAGAGATACTTCATTAGGTCCTAAGAACTCTGCATTACTGCTACTACCTTCAGCAATATCTATTTCCTGAAACTCCAACTGAGTTTTTTCTCCCATGGTGACATCTGATGGAAGGGTCTCGGTTTTCATTTCGTTTCGGACTACGCCCACGTCCAAAGGATCCGGTTGAACCGGATTAGACACATCTGCATATGCCTCTCCAGTGTGATGAGTCAGAAGAGAGATTATAGGATGGTGTTCACTGTTTCGTGGAGATCTATTTTGAACATTTTCAGAAGATAAACTTGAAGAAAAGTTGTTCATGTTTGGGATAGGCTGCTGGGGTGACGACTGGATATTACCCCAACTCCTCATGAGTATGTCCGGGAGACTTGATTCCTGTGGAACAAAACATGCTCAATTTAACCATTTCAAGGAAGGATATCATCAATGACATGCAGAGCAACAAGGCATTCCAAGACCAATTTGTCCATACCAGGAACAAAACTGTTGCACAGTATTTGACAACTTCGAGGTTCATGCGAACATCATCTAAGCTCCTGAATAATCGTATAGCAGAAAGTTTATTACAAAGATAAACCGAAATTCCCACTGTAATCTTAAGGTGAAAAAGAGTTTATATTTATTTGCCTGTGTGCCTGCTCTCCGATCTCGAAATACTTTGCAAGAGTTGCCATCTGCATTCAAGTTCATTAACATGTTATCGGCCAAAACTTACAAAATGTTTTAGAAAGCTAAGGTTTGTAATATGAATTAAAGAATACCTTCATATTACCAGCTCTCCTTCCGAACCTTCGGGTCAACAACGGCAATGAATCGATAATTCCCTTAGGCTCCGGCGCCGGCCTACCGATCTTCTCGAAAGCTTCCCTTATTCTCACGCAATCAAACCTCACTATATTATGCCCCGCCCACACCCTTCCTACAAAAACATCATTCAAATACTTGAAATAAAAAATGGAAACTTTAAAAAGAACACAGAAAAGAATGGAAACTTGAAAGAGTGAGATGCAGACCATGGAGAAGGTCGTGAACTTTGCCGGCGATTTCGGAGAAGGAAGGTGCCGAAACGACGTCGTTCCGACTGATGCCATTGCGGCGCACTGGGGCAGGGGAAACGGAAGAGAGGTCATCGGGTCGGACCAGGGAGGAGTAGCTCTGGAGCTCAACGAGGCGTTTGGGACAAACTAAAATGGCACCGAATTCGAGAATTGAGTAGCCTTGGCCCGGCCAAGGGACGGTGGTTTCCAAATCGAAGAACAGATTTCGGGTCGGCCATCGGACATAGTGGTCGGAACCATTTCAGAAGAGAAAAGCAAAGTAGGGATATGGAGAAATCGGAAGGTGGAGGAGGCGCTAATTGCATGGAATTAACCCACACTTTATAGGACAATGACTTTTTCCTAAGTTACTTCGTTAGGGGGTTTCCTTGTGGACTACGTACAACATATATCAATATAATTAAGATATACTTTATATATCTCACCTTTAACTTTTATTAAGCTTTATTTCAATATATATCTTTGAGTTGATTGATTTAATTTTTTTTCATCTAATATTCCATTTCAGTTACATCTCTCAATATCTATCTGAATAAAAGTGTATATAAATTAATGTAAAACTAATTTACTGTTATATATTTTAAGGATAAATTTATAATTTAATATTCGTAGATTTTTTTTATTCAACAACAGAATAAGGATATTTTTGAGAAAAAAAAAATTAAGGGCATTTTAATCCAAAATACCGGTAATCCAACAATACCTAAGAGAAGAGGGTATTCACATTCCCATAATATACCCCAAAATATCACTATTGGGAATAAAAGATTACCAGGCGACGGGAATGTTTGCCAACCAAACGGGGGAATGACATTTCATTCCCCCTGTAATCCATATTACTTGAACCAAACACGCCCTAAGTGGTTATGCGAAAACCTTTGCAATTCTACATCATTATGTACTTATTAATTTCCGAGTTGTCGAGTCTAACACTTTTTAATTTAACCATTATTATTTGATTGATTAATTCGAATTAGTTATTATAGATATTCATTATAGGATAATTCTCTTAAGTTACTCTATTTACAACATCATAATTCGAATCCTGATATTATTTAAATGATTTAGTATCTCATCTTATTAAATCAATTAATTGTTGATCTTAAGTCTAATACTTTACCAACATATAACACGGCCATCGACAATCTCATCGTGTATTGCTATCATCTATAAAAAAAACTGAATTATGAACTCATCAAATTGTCTAAGTAGTTAAAGGGAGTGTTGTTCTCCTTAGAGGTATTGGGTTCTAATAGTTGTATATGCAAGGTGTGTGCATTGTCATTGATTAAGAAAGATTATGAACATATACTACTTTATAATCATCTCAGATTATTCAAGAAAAAAATAAAAGGCTGAATTACAAATTTAAATTTGGACTCTCCCCCAAGTTGAGCATTCATTCAAATACAATACTTTTTTATTGAAATTCGTAAGTTTAATTCCTACTTGATACACCCTAATAGGACTCTCAGATAAGCCTATTGATATTGATTACGTATCAATAGAGTGGGACTTAAAATATTTAAATCAAAATACTTAATAGCATGATGATAAATTTATACGAAACTTCTATCTCTAGAACACGCAATGGAGTCGTAGACAGTCAAAAGAAATTCAATCGACAAAATAATTTAATATTACAAATATATCACAAAGATAATTTAATAAAATTTATTCCAAATAAATTTATATTCTCTAACTAAACAATATTTTAATCTTACATTCTCCTTATAATAATTTTTAGTAATACATTAAATAATATTATATTTCCAAAATCCTATTTTTAGAATTACTTTTACATTTCGTAAACTACGGGTTTTTTTTTGTAATAGATTATTTATAAAAAATAGTTCACAAATTGAACTTGCAAAATCCGCAAGTTTCATTCAATACAAGGGTGAAATGCGAAATTTGACCTTTTAATTATAAGACGGTCAAATTTGCAATTGGAATAGCACAAATTACAGAGTTGTCGAGTACAGAAGAATAGGGTTGTACTTTTGGTAGTAGACTGCTGTTTAGAGTAGTACATTTAGAAGGATAACCCGCAAAATAATTACCTTTTTGAATCTGCCTGCATAATGTATAGCAGGATCAAAATGAAAATATACAAAACAATGGAGGATCAAAATTGATATTTAATCATTATTTAAAATTTCGGTTCCAATTATCCTTAATGAATCTGACTGCATAATGTATAGCAGGATTCATGCAATCTGAGGAGAAAACACAATCCAGCAAAAATTCTATGAAGTGAAGAGAGGTAACATACATGTGAATGTAAAATCAGATATCATACATCAGAGCCGATCGGATATCTTCAGCGGCATAATCACACTGCCACTGCTTCCGGCCTTTTGCTGGTTTTGATTCCTCTAATAGCTGTTTAAATTGTTCGACCATAACATTATGTTAAAATCCACTGTTTTATATGCACCAAAAATGATAAATAATACACTTTTACCTTCGGCATAGTCTTTGACTCCAAATACAGCTGAGCCAGCCACTAGAGCATTTGCTCCAGCCTCAATAACCTGCCAGCAAAAGGGCAAGGGGGAGATAGGGAGAAGTGCATACGAGAGTCAAGCCTAAGTCGTTGAAGTTACTTATATCATTTAGTAGTCAAGCCTACCCCGGTCACTTCGGAGTTTCCAGAGTAATTCTATCGATTCCGAAATTCGAACACATATTGTTCTTCCACTCCGTTTAACTTGGTCATATAATATAGTCATATTATATACTAGGTTGATTTGTTCATTTCAGAGCTGAGGGTATTAGTTATTCCAGGGCTTGGACGTGCTTCGAATCATATTACACTTCAGGGTCATTCCAAATAAATCAGGAGTTTAATCGGTGATGCCAAGATTCCAATGGATCGTGATATAAGTTTTAGGTCATCTCCATTATCATAATCATCTATATTCCTTTTTACACTTTAAGGGTATTATCATCATTTCATTCAATTCTGTTAATGGCATTACTTCGGATAACTTAGGCTTCAAAGTATTCTAGTTCCTTTAGAATTCAGAGTACATTGTTCATTTGATCACTGGAAGTTATTTTCACCTCTAGGGGATGTCTTAGTCCTTTTATAGTACAAGGGTATTTTCGTAATTTTACCCTATAGTGTTATTTTTGGTAGTTTCTTATCCAAATATTTTCATCATTTAATCTTTAACGAGATTAATCAGAATTTACGCATCCTGAGATTGATTGATTTACTGATTAAATTACTGAACTTAGATTTGATTCCGATCAGTCTATCAATTTCTTATACGAGTCATTTGAGTCTTATACAGTGTTTCATCTTTATTCCAAATTTAATTTGAGTCCAATGATAATTAACTACATCTCATGGACCAATTATTTTCATCAACGCATTTACCATTTATTAGTGAGTCCCGAAAAACATACAAAATGAAGTAAAGTATTACCTCGATTTTGTGCTCCACCGATCAAACATTTAATCCCTATTCGATCACTCTTGAACTTGAATTCAACGTCCAATAATTCATCGGATACAAAGCAACTGAATTTACGCCAGAAACTGAACTTAAATGAGAAACCAACTTGAATCCGAAGATAAAACATTGAAAAACGGCTTACCGGGTGCGAATTTGACAAAACAGACTTCGGATTCGGACTCGAAAAAACATAAAACAAGGCTTTTCTGAAAATTAGACTTTTTTGGTCTAGGTCAACGGTCAAAGTAAACGGGTTGACTCGGACGAGTTGACTTAGACGAGTTGACTCAGGCAGGTTGACTCGGTGACTGGACCGGGTCGGGCGGGCCAGTTTGAAAAATTCCTTGGACCAAAACAAGCCCCACGCGCGGGTGACGGCGCGTGACAGCGCCGATGGGCTCGTGGCGGACGACTGAACACTCCTTGTTTATCCATATTCGAATTAACTAATATCAACCCCACAATCACAATAAAATTCTCCAAAATCACCGAAAACACAAAAATCAGGGCTTACCCACGGCGGACGATGAGAATGACGACGGTCCGGCGACCCACGGGTCGGGTTTTGATCAAAACTGGCAGGGGAATACATTGGTAATGGCGAGTGATGCGTGACGGTCGTCGGTTTGACTGGAATTGACGGAAAATGAACGACGATCGGGTGTTTTCGTCGAAGCTTTGTCGGGCTTTACACGATGTTTGGCGGCAGAGCCGAGGATGAAGATTGAGGGGTTTTGGTCGGGGTGGGTCACCAGTTCGATTGGGACGGGCGGTGACGTACATCGCCGACCGGAGCAGGGTAGATTGGGAGCGACGACGAGAGAGGCGAGTTGGGGGTTTGATAAATTAGGGATTTGGGGATTAAAATTGGGGATTTTGGGGTAATCGGGTTTAAAATTCACTGACTATTAAAAATGAGAAAATTCGAGTTTAAGTCCCTAAATTTCCCACAAGCTCCAAAACGAGCTACAACTTATAGAAATTTTCAATTTGGTCCCCGACGTTTCCATTGTTACTACCTTTATTCGATACTTTATAATTAATAAATTGTTTTAGCCCTAAATTAAGATGTGACATTTCATTTTTTCCACAGAGGTTTTAAAAGTAATAAATTAATTATTAACATTATCGAATTATAATAAATTGATCACTTGACGTTCATAACCATTATCGTCAACCATTATTGTGGGCGAAGAAAAGCTAACGTGGTGCGCTAACCTCTAACTTGACACCATTTAACCATTATTTTGACTAATCATTGTCTTCCATCTTCATTCCTCTGTATCCACACTTATTTTAACTTTACAATAATAATTATACAAAATATAAAAATAAATTAAGTTATCACATGAAAACAATATAGAAAAAGTAATGAAAACACACAAGAGCACGGAATATGCTGTTTGGGTAGTTTATGGGTGGAATAAGAAACTTTTGGATGTTGATTTGAACCATATTTTATTTCATGATATTGAAATGTAATTTTATCATTATATTGATTTTTAGTTTTATCAAATTTTAAAAGAATATAATCATCATTTTATGATTTTAAAAGTTTTTGATCGAATCTGTTGTGTTAGTTGTTGACAGTTTGTTTATTTTGGTTTGGACATTCGTTGGTGCTTGAACTCGAACCTTTAAGAATAACAATATCTTTTAACTATTGAATTAACTTGATTCATGCTATTAATAATAAAAATTAAATAACATAATTAGATTAAACTATATATTTTTTATAAAAGAATTAAATTTAATACTATAAAATAAAAATATTGAAATATTAAGGACAACCTTAAGTCAATTTGGAAGCAGAATTTATTAAAAAGAACCCTACGTCCTTCATTTTGGATTCAGAACCTTTTTATCACAATTTAATACGAAAATGACCAATAAAATAAATTTAATATAAAAAATAAAATTAAATCATTAAAGTGATTTAAGTGATAAAAGAAAAATGGTAATTTAAAAAAATAAATTCTAACAACGGTATTTATATGATGTATATATATTATCAATAAATTAAGAAAATTTTTAAAATATATTAACTTATAATCTCATCGCACTATTCAAAAAAAAAGTAAAAAGGAGAGTCGAAGATAACTTCACCTAATTAAAATTCTAATATTGTGCAACACAATTTTAAATTTATTTTCTAGCTAATTATGGTTCACAATCAACAAGATTAAATAGATCTTCCCAGTAGTTCCTGTTCTCATCATTGTTCCCATCATTACGATCATCACTTTCACAGCCATTAAAATGTAGATTTGAGAACCCTTCGATCAATTTCGGATCATCATCATCATTAACATCCCCTGTAACAGTACTGCAAGTCCCCATGTTCCATGGCTGATCAGTCCAAGCATTTGGTGACCAACTCTTCGTAATCATTTACTTCATTCGACAGAAACGACTCAGTGTTATCAATTTCGTTATTGTCACCGTTGTTATCGTCATCGATTACTATCGCCTCGAATTGCAGGCTTTGCCATGCTTTTAATATGTCAAGAAACGCGGTTTGTCAACTCGTTGAGCCGGGCGACGCCATCGTAGGGCTGACGTTCGGTTGTTTTGGTGATGTTTCGATGACTCTTTAACTAACCTAGCTTCGGCTTCGAGTCGAGCACTCTCCCATTGAGCCATGTGAGTTAGGTTTGACACCTTTTTCGGGTCACCACTGGCTGAACCAATTGGTGCAACCATTGGTCTATGAGTCGAAGGGTCGATCCCCATTGTGGCTAACCTTTTCTTTAAATGTGTGTTCCAATAATTCTTGATTTCGTTATCTGTTCTTTTTGGTAGATAAGCAGCAATTGCAGACCACCTGCAACCACAAGTTAGTCAAAAGAAAAAAACTATATCCGACCAAACCCGAACCCGAAAATTTGTACCTGTTGCCTAGGAGAGCATGGAGTTGAATGATGGTCTTTTGTTCTTGTAAACTGAACTTTCCTCTCTTGATATCAGGTCTGAGATAATTAATCCATCTCAGTCTGCAACTTTTCCCACATCTTCGAAGGCCTGTTTCGAATCAAAAACATAGTCAGAACTACAAAAAGTGTTGAAAAAGATCTGCAAATTTTTTGATGAGAGACTGGGCCGGCTTTCTCTGGTAAAAAACGCCAGCTTCCATGGCCATGTTTGTGAACAAAAGCCATTAGCTTTTGGTCTTCTTCGGGTGTCCAAGGGCCTCGTTTCAAGCCGCTGGCACCGATGCAGCAAGGGGACCTTCCCATTTTGATGCAAAACCAAAGGCAAAATATAATACTAACATAAACTGTTTAAGCAATGTAGAGAAGCTTGGAAATTTGATCACTATTTATACACACAACAAATTACACAGCATTTAACTTTTGCTTTTAATTTTAACTCCGAATTTCTGAATTGGAATTCAATAGACATCAGTGCTTTAATTAAACAATATTTATTGTGTCGAGGCCAGAATTACTGATTGATTTTTTTTTTAAAAAAAGTGGTGAATGTTAATAATGTCAAAATAATTAAAATCATTACATTTAAAAATAATCATTATTATTAAATTTAAAAATAATTAAAATTTTAATGATATAAATAGATCGATGCTCAAAATTTAACGGTGTCTCAAATAATTTTGTCCTATAAATACTATAAATGGTTCAATACCTTTTATTTTTCTTATTGATATATTACTCTGCGTTCTTTTTGACAATACAATATCATTAAGTTTTGCATTTCTTTCTGTGCAAATTTTGGTGAGATTCTTTATTAAGTCTGAGCAATGTTACAGCGTCTTATCATGGAGGAAAAAAGAACGACATTTATTTTTATTTAACGACTCCTTTTTCATTTTTTTTTTACTTTTTTTTTCATGTTTATCATGGAATGTTGATCTTATGTTAGTCGTGGACATGGCAAAAGGGTCGGGCGAAATTTTAGCACTAATGAGAAATATATAACAATTCTAATATAAAAATATTCTATAAATGTGTAAAGGATAAATTACACAAATTATTTATAATATTTGAATAAGTTTTTTTCTTCATACTCAAATTTCAAAATTAATAAATTAATTAATAACGTTATCGATTTTTAAACAAAATTTCAAAAATATTCACTTTTTTTTACAATCAATACATAAAAGGTAGCAGCTTTCCTAATCCTTCAACTTAAACCCACACTCTGCCGCTACTGCCGTCGCATATCTAGCCTCACGAACCACTGTATTCCCCACCACAAAGTTGCCACTCATCGTCACTCCAAACCACCATCGTCGATGTATTCGCATACCCGCACAATCCCAAGCCATGATGTACGGCGTCAGAATAACAGAGCCGAAGTCACAAGGCGCGTCCCAGGCCATGATGTACGGCGTCAAAATATAGTACTAAATTGCGGTTGTGGTTACTGTCGCGGTTGCAGAGGCTACGACGTGGTTTATTTCCTAAAATTAATGATATTTTTATATTGTGGTTTATAGTGTAACGGTGACATTTAAAAATATTACGATGCGGCCGTAATTTAATATTATGCGTCGGATTGTCGGAGGATGACTTGTCAAACCCCCAAGTGGGGATATCATCGGTAAGGTACGAGGGAACACATGCAACATGCACTTGCATTTTTTTTTTTGTCAGGGTTAAAAAATATTATTAAATTATTATTATTATTATTATTATTATTATTATTATTATTATTATTATATTATTAAGTGTGTTTATATTTTTGTGCAGGCCAAATGTGACCCAATTATAAGGAATCCAACAGACCCAGATCAATAACAGTACCAAGCCTCTCCACCGACGAGTCACTAAGGCTAGTCACCTCTGAGCAAGTTAAAACATCATCTTCACCATGTCGGCCACTGAACAGCAAAAACAAACAAACAATATCAGCAAAGTCAAAAGCATATCACCTAAATGATACCTAACCTGTCAATATCCTACCAAAAACGAAGAAAACACAGATGCATCCATGAAGATTAGGTGGAGATATCAACCATAAAATATGCAAAGGATTAGAGGAGAAGGGGAGAAAAAGAAAAGATCTCAAACACAAGAGCGTGGGCTCTCGGTTTTCAAACAAAAAAAAAAAGAAACGAGAACAAAAAAAATTAGGAGGGGAAGCTAGATACAAAAAAAAAACGAGAAATTTTCACCAGCGATAGAACGATAGAGGGGTCTTGGTTTTCAACAGAAAAGCAAAGGAGACAAGGAGAATTTTCATTCACCCTTCGAAAAGCCAACAGAAAACCATTGTAGTAAGAATCTCACTTTTGTATTAAAAAAATCAAAAGCAATAGAAATACAATTTGGGTTCAAGGTATTTTTTTATTTTTATTTTCCCGTTTTCTCTGTGTGTGCATATGTGTTTCAAAATAATAATAAAAAAACAATTGAAAAGGGAGGAAAGAAATTCTACCTTATGTTGTGAGCTTTAACTGCCGGAGTGATTGTCCTCATCTTTAAGGGACTAGGTGGTCAGTTCCGAAACAGTGAGTCTTGAGTAAATTCTAAAATGATTCGGATGAGATGATTAGATTAAAGCAAAATAAAAATATAAAATAAAGAGTGAAATATAGTTTCGATTTAGTTTACCTTATGGTGTTTGGGTCTTTGCTGAAAAAGATGAGAGTCATCGTGGATGAGAGCATCGCCGTTTAAGAAATAGGGAAGGGTTTAGTAAGTCTTACCTGGTTAATGTGGTATGTGGTCGGAGCAAGGAACATCCTTAGGAGAAGCTGTCGGCGTTGTGAGTGTTAACCTTGAGCTTCTCGGGTATGGGAAGTAGAAGATAGAGTTGAGATTTCTTTGAAGTTGAAAACGGTTGGATAGTTTAGTTTAAGTATTAGGTTTAGGATAAAGTTAGATTTTATATTAAAATATTTGAAATAATTAATTTTTAGATCACTTGTACATTTACCTTGGAAATTGATTCTTTGTTCATATACATATATATTTGTTTAACGTGTCTTAGGAAGAATAACCATTGTTTATTTGTTTAACATATAGCTTAGTTGGATATTTGTTAAACGTATATATATATATATATATATATATATATATATATATATATATATATATATATATTATATATATATATGTCTTGGAAACTGATTTTTTTGTTCATATATATATATTTGTTTAACATGTCTTGGAAACTGATTCTTTGTTCATATACATATATTTGTTTAATGTGTCTTAGGAAGAATAGCCATTATTTATTTGTTTAACATATAGCTTAGTTGGATATTTGTTAAACGTATATATATTTTTATTTAATGTGTCTTGGAAACTGATTTTTTGTTCATATATATATATATATATATATATATATATATATATATATATATATATATATATATATATATTTATTTAATGTGTCTTGGAAACTAATTTTTTTTTGTTCATATATATATATATATTTGTTTAACATGTCTTAGGAAGAATAGGCATATTTTATTTGTTTAACGTATAGCTTAGCTGGATATATATATATATATATATATATATATATATTTTAAATTATTAGAGTATATTTAATTAGCCCATGCATGATCAATTTTAATATATTTTTATTATATTAGATGTATACTTGTATTTACTTTTATATTCTTTATATCATTTATTTAATAAGTATAGTTATCATTTATTTAATAAGTATAATGTTCCATTACTTATTCATAATATGCGTGCATATTTGTAAGATAGTTAATATAAATTTATATAGTAACTTACATATACTTGTGTATTCTACATCGAATTAAATCTTTATATTTTAATATTGAGTATTAGTTATGGTTCAAACGTTTAAAACTTATTTATAGTAATTATATATAAGATATAGTTTATATCTAAATAAATGTATATAATTTTTAGAATGTCGTGGTAATTTTCATGAGTTAAATAATCATTTGTTTTATTTAATTAATTTTTGTATGATATCTTTATGTGCATAACTCGACATTATTACATGTTTTATTCATTGTTTTAATTTCGTTTAATTGCAATTTAGACTTCAAGTTTTTGATTTGTTGCATTTTAGTTCTTATAAGTTTAACTACTTATTTTATTTTTTTCTTTAAGTTATTAATTTGAAGTAAATTAATTAAATTCCAATAAATGGATCATATTTTAACTTGATATTTGATTCAGAATTTCCACCATTTACGACAACTTGTAAGCGACACAGTACCAATTTTGGGCGCTGTGGGGGTGCTAATCCTTCCCCACACGTAACCGACTCCCGAACCCATTTTAATCGAATCTTTGGAAAACGCATACCAACTTTTGTCTTAAAAAATGATTTTTCTTAAAATTATTTTTAAAAGACGTTTTTAGGTATTCGACCTACCTAACCCAAAGGTTGATGGCGACTCTTTTCAATTTAATTCAAATTAATCCAAAATCACCCCATTTTCCAAAATTAAAAGTCATAATTGTTTTTAAAACAAATTAAACGATTGTTTCTCCCGGAAAACGGTTACGACAGCTTGGCGACTCCACTGGGGACCAGAATTTTTTAGAGAGTCAGTCTGTAAATCGCTTACACATTGTCGTTTGGTAGAAATTATGAGTTCGAGTCTTTAGTTAACTTTTGATCCTTTTATTGAAGTTTTTAATTGCTTCATTTTATTATTGTCTTACTAACATTTTTATCTTTGTTTTCAGATTTGTCCAAAGTTTTGTCGAATGGTGTCATTTTCCTTTTGAGTCAAAGGGTTGAATGTTCCTCCTCACACACGTCACGAGCATTTGCATAACATAAGCTCTATACCCGAGCTTCGAACCTTTCTAAGTGGGGGCGAAAGCGACGCCTTCGTGAGAATTTATTCTCCGTGCAGGCCTAGCAAGTAACCTTCGGGATTCATATACCTTATGTTTTCGTGAGAATTTATTCTCTGCATAGACATAAGGGAATGTATCCTCTCGAATTGAACTCGATCCGTTTAAGCCTATAATGGGTGAGGATTGAGGGTTTGGCAGCCCAAGGGGGCACTAACATCAAGGACAATTCGAGTACCTTTTTCTGTTAGAAACACAACTACGCATATAGTGAACCGTAGAACGATCACCTGAGGTATAGATATATCGAACCTATGTCTGTCAGTAGGTACCCAAAATAGGTGTACACAAAGGAGGAGCGTTTCTGAACCTTTTCTTTTTTACTTTAAATATTGTTTAATAACAGCATGCGAACTAGATACCATGTGGTTAGGATTAATTTATTGAAAAATCATTGTGGGTATATAACATGCTTG